CCTAAAACATAAATACTATGATAATATATGATGTTGTGAAATAGTTTCATCCCATCTGCAGTGACTATATATCCCGTCAGTAGACAGATTAAGGATGTAGCTCAACGGCATGTCAGTGATTACACTGTTTTTGTGACTTATTCACTCCTAGTAGCTGAATGCGATCCTTTGCAGCTTAAAGGAATAACAAGTGCAAGCTTTCTATTTCTTTGCTAAATTTGTATCATAAGAAAAAGTACACGAACATCAAACAGAAAACCAAGTTGAATCTCAGGTGCACAACAATAACAACTTAATATCAGAAGTCAAAGAAAGCCCACGCATTGCTTCTTTCTCCAGCAAAGCTGTACCTTGTGCAACATTTCAACCCACTTGATATGTTGCATAAGTAAACCTACTGAAGTTAGAGTCTGTTACATTCCAGTTTTTCCTTTTGTTCTTTTGAGATTGGTCACAGACAGCAGATTATGCATATCGTGTTTAAAATGACCAAATACTACAGACTGGTGTTCGCTCACATACCTGACCCGTATGCTCAGTCTCATCCTTGTTAATCAGATACATCAGGAAGAACCTGCAGACAGGAGGCGCAAGTGTTAAAGAGGGAAAACTTTAGTCACATTACGTTTGGTCATATTTCTGTACTTACAGGTAGTTGGCTAGGTTGTGTTCTTGTAAGGTGTGAGTTTCAAAGCCATGAGGCGTCCGGTCAAAGTAATCATTCCCAATTCCACAGATGAAACATTTGGTCTGGAAGACAAATGAGTGGGGATCGAAAATTAGTGATGACTGTCATCATCCTATTTGAACCTGCCAATTAGATTTCTGCTAATCAGTTTTTTCTTGTGAAATATGTTAAGGAAAAAGAACATACAAATGAATAATAATTTGAATTATTGAAAGCTAAAATGGAAACAAATGCACAATAGATGCAAAACAAGAAAAAAAGTTTGCCATACATTCTGATCAAGTTACCTTATCAACATTTAAAAACAACACGTATTGACCAAAGTGTCGTACAACTGAGAGAATAAAACAATTGGAGCAATAAAACATATTACAGACAAAAAGGAGAAAAATGTCTAAATTAATTATTGCCTGCAGTTATTTGTAATATTTATTCTCAGTTAATTTATCAACAGATTTATTTATTTGTGCCAGTTTTGTTCCTCTGCACAGTGTGGCTCACAGGAATAGACAATTAATTAGACAATTAAGTTAGTCTATGCCACAAGGCAACAAACTAACTAATGAAGAAAACACTCAAAAACAATTCGAGTTGGATTGACTGACTACAGGATTATTACATCACCAGCAGCGTAGTGACCAGAGACTGTTTAAAGTCAATGATATTTGTCAACTTCACGCAACGATGGGTGAAATAATCACCGGTGATTCAAAGTCACGTTAAACTTTTCTCTATTTTTAGACAAACAATTGAACCACCAATGAGAACACAGGATGCCGGTGATTAAAGTTATGATGGGGTTGTAAAAGCATTAGAGGACAAACAGGTATCAAAGGTTTGTTTGCGACCAACCATCAGCTAAAGAGCGATGGAGGCAAATAAATCGCTTCCTGTGTTCATGCTCCTTAACTCACGTAAAGCAGGAAGGGAATACTGTCACTTACTGAAGCAACAATATAGCTGGCAACAGACAGCTTGGTTAGAGCAGTCTTACCTCCATGTCTTCTTTCACCTGCTCCTGTTGGTCTCTCAGCTCACCAAAGGCATCAATGATTAAACCTGTAGAAAGGTGCAATGCTCTGTTAGAGGAGCATGAGAAGAAAACAAAGACCTGTGCGGTTTTTAAGTTAAACGCAGATAATGAGAAATAGTTTCACATACCCTGGATGATGGCCAGCAGGATGACAATGACAAAGAAGAAGAAGGTGATGTCAAACAGGATGCGGTAGAGCTCGTATGGGTCTCCAGCTGGGTCCTCTAATTCATCTCCAATACCTCCTCCAGCTCTCACACCCACGTACATGTGGAACATATAGCACTACAGAGGGGCGGAAACAGGCATTAAAGGAAGCTACACCTCATTCAGTGTTGGCTGGGAAGTATGAAAGTGGAAACTTCTCTTTTTTCATTCTATATTTCAAACTACAAAACATGGCTGAAGACTGAGTGTCACTGGAGCTGCAGCTGGAGGTTCTGAGCCATCTATTAGAGTAAGGTTAAAAAAAAGGAGTCATCAAGGTCTACGTTTTACAAAAGATTATGAAAAATCATTTGTAAGCTGTTACTTTACTTCCAATATAAAGACTCTATTTAGAGGCTTCATTTGTAGAAACATTAACTAGGAAAAAATGTATAAAAGATAAGAAAATGCTGTCCAATAGACACCTTCTACCTCTGGACCCTGAACAAGGCTAAGAAGCAAACATGTTCAAGTCAACCATTCAAACTAAAAGCCCCATGTTTTTTTTTTTCTCAGCTCAAAATGTGTCCTTGCTGAGGAATGAAGTCTTTCATTTTCACTACCACAAAAGAAAGGTATTTTTCAATTTTCAGCCACTTTCACATGAATAGGCACCGGAGGTGGTCAGACATACCGTCATCATATCGTCGCACTTCATGTCGGGCTCGTCTTCATCCTCGCTCTTATTGTAAAACTTCCTGAAGAAGTTGAAGGCCACCACGGTGTAGAGATAGACGACCACAGCCAGCAAACCCACAGTCAGCACGAGCTGAAAGGAGAGGAGAGTCATTTTAATTGGATACATTTTATCTGAAATTCTTTTAATTAATCTCAGTGACGATTAGAGGCAACAATAGAGGAGACGGACTCGTCTCAGAGGCACAATTGGGGCCTTCTTTTTTTGTTTGACTGTAAATTTTGAGAGTAATTTTTGCAGTTTCTGTCAGAACTGTAGTAAAGTGTCAATGCTACTGTGGGTTTCTTTTCTTTTTTTTTTCAAATAAAGTTCTGCACTAAAGTACTTTCTTAGCTTTCATCAGTACTCAGACTTTCAAGACCTTCAGAAGTGCAAGACCCAAGGTTTGTGCCATCACACATCATCATCATCAGGGGCGATCATGGCTCAAGAGTTGGGAGTTCACCTTGTAATTGGAAGGTTGCCGGTTCGAGCCCCGGCTCGGACAGTCTCAGTCATTGTGTCCTTGGGCAAGACACTTCACCTACCGCCTACTGGTGATGGCCAGAAGGGCCGATGGCGCGATATGGCAGCCTCGCTTCTGTCAGTCTGCCCCAGGGCAGCTGTGGCTACAACCGTAGCTTGCCTCCACCAGTGTGTGAATGTGTGTG